CCCCAAAACCCCAAAACCCCAAAACCCCAAAACCCCAAAACCCCAAAATGAGTTATTCAAATTGAATGATTTTACCTTACCAAAGAGTAAATATTTATGTTCAATACTCAGAAATACTGAGTTTTCTTTCTTCCTTCCTAGACATCCTATCGAGATTGCTTGATCTTGAAAGAAACTTAGGTGGTACTTGAGGAGTATGACACCTTTCATGGTATGGACTATGGATAAATTTAAGTATATTCTCCTTTTTCCCTTTCAAAATATTATCTTGAATCCAAAACTGGATTACATTCAGCGTGATTGGGATCAGAATCATGATGAAAACCAGCTTTAAATCTGGGAACTGCTTAAGCCATCCAAGGCAGAAATCTGCTAGATCTTCAAAAATCGGTGAAAATATCTTCACGGTGAAGAATAATGATATTTTCACTATGAGCACCACGCATGTCCAGACAAAAAGTTGTAGTCCCCATATTCTGTAGTCAATAATATGACCAGTTTCTTGTTCTGTTGGCTCAAGGTTAACATTTTCAGGGTGTGAGTAATCTTCATGAACATAAACTCCTGTGTTGAGAGCATCTATCCCATTCACAGCAGCGAAAGCTTCAATACTTTTGATGATTACAAAACAGAGAATCGTACCAATTCCAACATCTACAGCGAAGTTGATGAAATACCATTCGCAGTTATCGGTAACGCTTGACTCACTGAGTAATGTAGAAAGGACCATATTAAGACAGTGGACAAGTCCCGCAGAAAAGACTTGCTTCGAGGTGTCCAAAAACCAGATATTCCAAGGCCTTTGTGGTCTCTCCATATATCTCTTGATTAGTAAAGAAGACAGGGACATTACTCCAAGGATGCCTTGGACTATCAAGCCTAAAGGTCCAAGGATTTCACATTGCCTAATTGTTATCCCGATGTCTTTCTCAATTAAGTCTGGAAGTACTTCCATTTTCAATTTATGAATTTGATTCAGGGGTTTTGGGGTTTTGGGGTTTTGGGGTTTTGGGG